ACAATATTGTACTAATTAAAAACTATTTTTTAAATTGAATTATCAATTGGGCTACATCTATTCCCAAATTATAAAAAAAGAAATAAACAAATTATTGTTGTTTGTTATGTACATTATTTTTTTTAAGCAATAATAAAAATATTGAAATATGATTTAAAATGAAAATAGGATTGTTTCTATTCTTTCTATTTTGTAACTTAAATATAGATTAAAACTTTAAATATAAAAAATAAAATAAAATAAAAAAATATAAACATTAACAACATTGTCGATTGTATCTAATATTGAGTTATTATTTAGAGAAATGTCATACACTATAAAATTAATAGAATTAACAATAAAAAATATATAATTATATATTATACATATAAAATAAATAAAAAATTATATATTAATTAAACTGGTTCGACCGGTTCGACCACTGGTTCGACCAGTGAACTATTGAACCAGTAGCTTCACCAGTTCGATGACCGGTCCGGTTTTCAAGACAATGGTTATGACCTTATCCCATTGATATTTCCATGAAGCGTCCTTATCGCGTTCTATTTTTTGGTAACCACTCTATATCAATAACCGGATATTTGGTTAATGATAGCACACGTCTTTATTTCAAGGAGCGGATATTCTTTGATCTTTAATTAATCTGAACTGATTGCCTTGACTTTTCAATTTTTAAAAACTCTTTTTTTATCGCACGTTGGTCTTTTCCTGAAGAAACTCGTTTTTAGTCACGACCAATTATATGTTGCTGCTTCGCGTGTAAATAATAGAAGAGAGTTAAAAATATTAGTTTGTGATAATGAAGAGTTACCAAATAATCAAACTCATAATGTTGTGTACAAGGAGGTTTTTAATAATTTATGATTGTTACCGAACTTTTTATGATTCAACAATCTTCCTATGTATTTTAATGATTTCAATTTCGATCCTAATACACGTGAGATTATATTATTCTTCCAAATTTTACATCCCGTGCATCGCACGGGTTACGTACTAGTCTAATTTAAGGAATTCAAAGATTACATATACCTTAGTTGCCAAGCAAAAGAAAATATCCACCAGACGTAACACGGAATTCAAAGATTACATATACCTTAGTTGCCAAGCAAAAGAAAATATCCACCAGGGACGTAACACGGAAACTCCCAAGATGATATTGAACAATTATAGACTTGACATGGTCACGACCCGAATTTTTCATTGTTTAACTTTTAAATTAAAGAAATCAGTTAAATTACAAGAAAAGTATGACTACATTAATAAGATGATGAAAATACACGTTTTATTAAATGGGAAGAAAAAATTGTACATAAAAGAATGTTGAATTGGCTTATATACGTCCCAAAATTGTCCATGTAGTTATCGTAAATATTAAAAAAAAATATGGTTATCATCCACATATCAAAATCTTTTAATTTCCGGAGTTGACTTTTGGCAATGACTGTTGACTTTAAGCGTTGACTGTTGATCGTAGTATGCATTATGTATGAAGAAAATGTGCATTCACATTATGCAGTTATACAATCTTTATGAACTGAATGTGCACCAATAATGTCAACAGCTAAATATGCATTGTTTGTTAACTAAATATGTACTATGTATGAACTAAATGTGCTGTGAAAATATGTAATTAAATATGCATTTTATATAATTAATTTAAATATAATAATTACTATTTTTTAGTATATAATTAATGTAAATAATAATTGGTTAATATAGATCATTGATCTACACAAATAAATAGCTATGGTTGGATCTCACATGAACTAAATATGCACTATGATGAACTAAATATGAATGTACAAACAAAATGTGCAGTCAAAATATGCATTTTATATAATTATGTATTTTTATTATATAATTAATGTAAAGTTTAATTGATTAATATGAACCATTTATGTACACAAATAAATGGCTATGATTGAACCTTACATGGACAAAATATGCAATATGATGAACTAAATATGTATTTCTTAGTACCTAGTTGTGCATAATGAATGAAGGAATGTATTAACTATTACAGTACTTATATAATAAAAGAAGTATATCAAGTTAATTGTATAATAAAAGATATATATTAACCGGTTTGAACTAAATATATATGCTAAATATATAGTTCATATGAACTAAATATGTATGCTAACAATGAATTTGTTTATGAACCATATATACATTGTGTGTAAGTAAATTTTCACTCGTAATATGCAGTTGATATTAACTAAATACGCATCTGGTATGAAATTGATATGCATTTGAAATTAATTAAATTTGTATTTCGTATGAACTAAATGTACAGTCAAATTATGCAACTTATAATATTAATATCCTGGAGCCTTGTACTGCGTTTATGTTCTCGATTAAGCATGCATTATTTATAACTAAAATATGCAGTGTGTATTATCCGAATATGCACAATAAATAAATTAAATGTGCATTAATTATATAATAAAAAAACCCAAGGATCATAGTTCAGTTATTCATATTTTAAATGAATTACAGGTTGACCTCCAAGGATCAAATTGAAATAACTTATAAGTTTATGAAATTGAAATTAATTAAGTTTCCAGAATTTATCTAATTTTCAAAATCAATCCCTAGCCGCAATTCCGAAACCCGATTTTCGTTGTTGCTCACCTACCTCCTCCTCGTCGTCTCGCTGCCTCCTGCATCCTCGAGGATGACGACGCCGTCCGAACGTGCCTCCGGCGTTCCGACTGTTCACCGATGTGAACCCAGACGTGGTGGCGTTGCTAGATTTGAGGTCGTAAGGGCACCTGTTTGATATGAAATTGGTGAAGAAGACCGACGTGCTAGACGACCTACCGATCTATGGTCGTAATTTAGAAATTCTTGCCGATGTGCTGGTCTTGTCGTGGTCGTGTCCCTTTTGGCTTCTCAGGCGTCGGCAGGTAGGGACTGCGAGGCGGCGGTCAGGTGGTTGACGCCGCCAGCGAGATCTGGCTATTGGGAAGCAGACATTTCCGTTGCCAAAGAGATTCGACGGGGACTGCGAGGTGGCGATCCAGCTGAGGGAGCATACTTGATGTTGACCGGCCAACGACCACAGACAACAACTGACCGGTCAATTGCGGTCAACAACGTAAAGTAAATATACCTACTATATAATTATTCAAATATAATTATTCACATATAATTCACATATAAAAAAAAATTTAACACCTTGAATAGTGTTTTTGATGTATATAGATATTTTAATGTGAAAACTATAATTCCTAATTTTACCCAACCATAAAAGATTATTTACTAATATATATTCATTAGATTTTAGTTTATTCATGGTTAACTTGACTATGTTTTATAAAGGTTTATTAATATTTTAAATTATTCATTAAGCTAATATAATTCAAACATAATAATATTCATTATTTTGTTATATATTTTAAGTGTTTTTGATTTGATGATCATAATCCATATCTACAACCATGAGATGATAACTAAACTAATCAAATATTTTTTATAATTATAATGAGTAATTTTTTTTTAAAATTATGTCAACAAAATTACTATGAAATTAGTATTATTGGTCTTATTCAAAATATATTTAATCAATCAATTGTTGTGTGTGTGTTTGTTTATATACTACTGTTGATTTTTTTTTTTTTAAAAAAACTTGTACTAATACATTTATAACTTTGGGTATATTAGTAAAACAATAAATTTATCTTCACAAATCTTTGAGACTAAATTTCACTTCAAGCAATAATTAGTTTAATATTTTCAAAGTTGTACTAATACATTTATATTCTCAATGATATTATTAAAACAATTAATTTATCTTCACGAATCTTTGAGACTAAATTTTAATTCAAACAATAATTAGTTTAAATTTTCTCAAATTCTATAATGAGCTAACCAATTTTGGTTTTATGTAATAAATGAATGTGTAATAGTAATTGCCAAATATAGCTTAAATATTTAGGTGAGAAAATTTGTGACAAATATAATAAAATAGATTTGTCCATTATATAGATATAAATATAGATATAGATTTAATAAAACTTATAAGTTCTATATGAGTTATATAGCAGTAAACACTGTTTTTTACCTTATTATTGTTATTTTTTTTAACATATACCTAGAGTAAATTAAGAGTTAAGACATGCAATTTGGTGTGTTTACCACATATTAGGACTTTATATTTTTAGCATCTTTACATTATATATGTGTTCGAGTTAATTTATTGAAAGGTTTTGTAGTTTGAGAAAATTATACCAACTTTATTGTCCCGAAGTGTGAAAGTACAATATTGATGTAATTAAAAATTATTTGCTACATTTTTTTAAAATATTTATAATATACATCATTATAAATTAAAAAGGTAAAATAAAATAATATATATTGCAGTCTTTTTAATTAATTACTGGTTATAATAATCACAATTTTTAAAATTTTAGCATAACTTATTTTGGAATTTAAATATTCTAATAACGTATGAATAAGAGAATATAGATAGCAAATATTATGTGTGTAATATTTATTAATAATATTTGATGAATATGTTAAATTATCATTATTTTAATTTTAAGCAGGAACTTTAAAATGATAACTATTTTATAAGGAGATAAACATATAAATTATATGTATGTTAAAATATTATGACCATAAAATATAAAAAAATATTAATATTCAAAACTATTTTTAAACTAATAAATATTCTTTCATGGTTTGACGAGGGATTTGCAATTGAAGCCAAAGCCACCGATCAAACCATCTAAATTGCCAATATAATTAAGAACTTTTCCCTCCAAAATAGTATGCTGATGTCTTTGTATTTTTACTTTTGTCCCACATCGCCTAAGGAGCTGAGGGGGAAACCAACTGACCTATAAAAGAGAGCCGCTCTTGCCCAGGAAAATTCATACCTTTCTCGGCCTTTTGGCTAAGATCAAGTGTAGTATCTGTTCTTATCAGTTTAATATCTGATACGTGGGCCATCGGCCCACTCGATATTAAATTAATTTTTTCAGGGGGAAGGCCCAATGGGTAGCTTGCTACTCGGGCCTTCGAGTGTCGCCCAAGCGTTGCACTATTGCTCGGGCCTGGCGCACCCCACCAATACAAGTCGAAGTTTTCTTAAAATTGTAGTTTTATAAATTTAATTTAATATTAATCTCTATTTTTAATACGTTTCTAAGGATTCTGGCCTTCTGTGCGACTAACTGTACAACTTGAAAACCTTAGATTATTGAGAAAGAGAGAGCACTCAGAAACCTTTCCAACAGTCTCCTGTCCAAGACGGAACCTATAAAGTGATGTAATGGACAGATATTTTCTTCAAATGGGATTCGCCTTCGATCTTCACCAGACACCACCCATTTTTTTTAACTTTTTTTTTTAAAAAAAAAAAAATTGTGTAGTTTTGAATAGCTGATGAATGGTTGTGAACGTGCAGTATTTATATGAGTCATTGATGTAAACAAATCAATGAATAATTTTAAAGAATTGGGTTATTGGATCTAATCCCATGATCAATATATTAAATCGTGTGGGTGAGTGTATTAACTCGTTTCTATTTGAGAGGAGCGAGATTAATCTATATATATAATTGCTAGCATTTTATTTAATTTTACCTTATAAATAAAACTTAATAAATTTTACTTAATAAATAATATAAACTTTTCAAATACAAAAACCGTTACTTTTACAAAATACATCAATTTTGGACTGTTACAAAATCTAAACTAATGACCACTATTTTATCTAAGTATATCAATTTAGGTTAATTAGCTAAAAATATTTACTTTTTTAATTTCTTATATAATCATTACTATGCTAACTTAATTATGAATTATTTATTATAGAAACTCATGATTACATAAGCATGTATTCAGAATATAAATTTTTAAAAGAACTTTTTATAAATGTTTATTTGGAATATCTATTGTTTTTTATGATATCACTACAATAATTAATCATGGTGAAAATGGAAAATGCAACACATGTACAACATGGACAAATACAATAACAACAATACAAAATAATTTCACCAGCACTGGAAATTGTATCATATAATAGTTATTATTATAATTAATAATTATATTTTACACTAAATGATATGTGAAAGTTACATAAACATAAGAAACTATATTGTAAAAATTTTTTGTTCGAGTAATTTATTATAAAATCAATATAATATTTTTTTATCTGCTTAAGCGATTAGTTTTTAAATAAATTAATTTTTTTAATGGCATAGTAGAATTCCTTAAAATCGCATAAGCAATTGTTATAATAAATTTAATATTTTTTAGCTAATTAATTAGTCATAGTCCCTTAAAATTTCAAAAAATACATTACTTATTTTATTTTATTCAATCAATATAGTGATTCATATACAATCAAATCGTTATGTACTATTTATTTTAACCAATGATCAAATTTTAAAATATAATACATTTATTTAACTTATAATTTTAATATTATATGTATAAATAAAACTTATAATACCCTACGTATAAAATATAATATCATTATCTAACTTATAATTTTAATATTATATGCATACAAATAACTTATAATACTCATTTATACCCTACGTATAAAATATAATGTCATTATCTAACTTATAATTTTAATATTATATACATACAAATAACTTATAATACTCATTTATATCTGTGCAAATGCACATGATCGAATACTAGTATTGTTTAAGTTTTGAAATTTCGTAGGAAAAAAAAGAATAACGTTACACGAAGAAGGTTCCATCAAGTTTTACGTGTGAAGAAAAGAAGACAAAAATGAAAAACGTATATTAAATTGAAAGCAAGGGATTGTAGAAAGAGTAATAAAACCTGAAACATAATCAAAGAAAAAAAACCATTCTTAACTACACCCTCTAACGAAGTAGAAGACCGAAAGCAGAGAGACCAACATAAAAGGGAAAAAAGAGACAAAATAAGGAAAAAGGCAGCTCACAAAATTAGTAAATTACTCAGGTGATCGGTTTTTGTAGCTTCGTTCTCCCTGTCGAGAGGTGTGGGAGTCGAATCAGCCATGGGCGGGCAGGAATCGTTCATATACAGCTTCGTGGCACGTGGCACGGTGGTATTGTCGGAGTACACCGAGTTCACCGGCAACTTTCCGGCGATTGCAGCCCAGTGTTTGCAGAAGTTACCCTCTTCCAACAACAAGTTCACTTACAAGTGTGATAACCACATTTTTAACTTTCTAGTTGAAGATGGCTATGGTAATTTGTCTCTTCTTTTTCTTTAATCTTTTATTTATTTTTTATGCTAAATTGAGCTGTTCAAATCTTTTGATGTTTGTATTGTCCGTGATTGTGTTTGGTTTAGAATTTTTTTTTTGGGGAAATTGTGTTTGAACTTCGAATTGGGTTTCTTGGATCTGAGGTAGAAAGTTAGTAAAAGACAGTCTTTACTCTTTACAGTTTCCTTTATCTTAGCCGCAGTGTAAGCAAAGCCAAATTTTCGTGCTTTGGAATTTATTTTTATGCTGAAAGTTAAAGCTTTCTTTGGCTAATCTGGGCTGCTGGAGATTTGGGGTATTGATCTAATGATAGTTTGATTCCAAAGAGGTGAAATATCATAGAGATGATGCATGATACTTATTTCTTATGGTTATATAAATGTAGTTCTTTCTCTGCAAAGACAACAATTATAGTTAGTTATGGCAAGTAATATTGAGCAGATCACTGCCTTTGCAATTTTTTTTGCGAAGAAGACAAATAAATTTAAGCTTCCTAACTGAAACATCGTTTGCATCGAGCGATTAGGGTCTGTCTTTGCTGTATTAATGAGGGGAAAACATATATGCTCAGGCTAGTTTTGTATGGGTAGATTGATCAATGCTGTTGAGAAATATAAATGATTGTTGAAAATGAATATATAATTGTTATCTTTTGGGACAATCTAGATCAATTTGTGTACAGATTATCAGGGTCGTAAATTGAATCCAAATGAATGTAATTTAAGATGCCTTCATTTGGAATGAGCTTTATAAATTGTTATTTTTCTCCTCGTATTCTTTTAAGCACAGTTACTTCATTTTCATGGCTCAAATGTAACATGTATTTTTAAAATAGTGGTTTCACAATTTCCCCTCTAACCTAATTCTTTTTGGCTTTTACTTAATTTTACTTATTATAGGCTAGTCATTAGAAATATATGTACCAGAGGTACAGAACAGTAAATATAGGAATCTCATGCCATTCGATCTTACAAAGTCATTCTTATACAATTATGATTCTGGACACTGGCAGCTTTTGGTGTGCGGTATTGTTATTAAACAACTTTAAATTCGTTTCTCTAGAAAATAGAATTTTAATAAAGACTCTTCTAAATTAAAGAATGCTATCAGAAACTTCAGAATTCTTATTCACCACCTCCGTGTATGTGCGTGTGTATATATGGATTTCCTTGGTGATTAGAAAGAACACTCTTGAGGTATAGTCTAATTACCGAAAATCCTAGTCTATTTTGAATAGGAATAGCCCCTTGATAACTATTGCACCCTAAAAGAGGGAAACATGAAGGATTTGCAATCCCATAAAGATCGTGTTTGTAATGCCTCAAGAGGGTTAAACTTGTAACTTAAAACATAATTGCGGGCTTCTATGTGATTAGTCTATACATAAGGGGTAGCATTTGCACTTGTCCATGATGAATGTGTGCAGCTTCGTACTCTGCCACCTGATACCATGGTTAAATATCATATGCAGCTTACTGTGTAGTTGCTAAAGAATCTGTCGGAAAACAAATCTCGATTGCATTTTTGGAACGTATCAAAGCCGATTTCAAGAAAAGATATGGTGGTGGTAAAGCAGATACAGCAGTTGCAAAAAGTTTGAACAAAGAATTCGGGTAATTACATATTAATATTTTTGACATTGGAGTTACAAGAAAATATTTTTTTTTATTAATAAAAGAACTTGCAAACGCAGGCCTCTAATGAAAGAACATATGCAATATATTATCGACCATGCGGATGAAATTGTGAAACTATTGAAAGTTAAGGCCCAAGTTTCGGAAGTCAAAAGCATTATGCTGGAGAATATAGACAGGGTATGTGAAATGAACTAAACTTGTAAACTTGTTAACATATAGATCTCGACGACTTTTGGTTTCCCAATGCACTTCGTATTCTGTCAGCTACACATAATCTTCTTTTTGGTTCTGCTTTGAGGATTTGATCGTTGTTTTTCAGTAAATAATGTTGTATGCATTTTTCAGACTATCGAAAGAGGTGAAAACCTAACCGTTCTTAACGACAAGGCCGAAGATCTGCGTTTTTCGGCATGTGAATCCTTTCTTTCTATAAGAATGCTCTTAGATTTATTTACATGCATACCCCTGAACTCTCCTTCCTTCTTCTTGCAGGCCCAAGAATTTAAGAAAAAGGGCACCGAAATCCGACGAAAAATGTGGTACCAAAACATGAAAATTAAGTTAGTTGTGCTTGGGATTATACTCCTCTTGGTGCTCATTATCTGGCTTTCTGTTTGCCGCGGTTTTGATTGCACCAACTAGATTTTGTATCTTTTTTTTTTTTCTTTTTCTTTTATATGTGAGAGTTAAATGTTTTAGAATGATTTGTAGAGGTTTTTCATACGATTTTTCATATTTTTTCTGTGGAGTGACTGTGGAAGAACAGTTTAAGCGGTGCCAGACCTTTGTACTTGACCAACGTTCACTCTGATCTAGTGTATTATAGAGAATTCTTCGTTATTGAACTTCCTTATTCTCTGTATTGATTTCTATTAAATCTATGTACATAATTAAAAACATCTGAAGTTAAATATTTGCAACTTTTCTTGATTCGTTTATTACTGAATGATAGATTTCTTTTGTTCATCCGGGCGACCAAGTGCATAATTCAGTTTTCTAGTATTAATAAAAATAAAAAATAAAAAAAATCGTGCAATTCCATCCTAACTCATATATTGATTGTGATGTACTTTTATTTTANTCCAAATAAGAAAAAAACAGAATATTAACAAACAAAATAATGCAACTCCATCCTAACTTATGTATTGGTTGATGTATTAATTATACTAGTGTTGCTACTTGCTACCTGTGAGATGCACCGGATATAATATAAAAAATATTTTTATTAAATTATTTAAGATAATATGTCAATTCTATTAGACACAACATATCGAGTCTGTAATAATATAATATTTATTTAATTTTTTTTTTATTTTTCCAATTTATTTTTGTAGGTATGAATTTAATTAGTTATTAGTTTATAAAATATTATAAGTGTAAGATTTAAAATATAATGATTGTATATCAGTTACTTGCAAGTACTTATATAATTATCGATTTAAAATTAATTATATAATTTTTTTAGCAATTCATATTTTGCATATTGCTCGATAACGACGTACGCTTAATTCATAAAATTAATTTTTATTTATAATCACTCTAATTGCATAAAATACTAACTTATGATAATTAATTTTTAATATTTAGTAACTTTAATCTCTTGTGCAACACAAAATTTTCATGGTAAATATTTTATTTTGTATTTTAATATTATTTGTATATATTTATTGATTTAATTCATTTAACTCAACATATATAATAATTTAATTAATAAAAAAATTTATTATTTCATATTCCAATGACTATAAAATCTTATAATTTCAATTATTACTTGACTATATAATTTTATTTACTCATTGTTCAAAACGATATATAATAAAAAAAATTTAACACCTTGAATAGTGTTTTTGATGTATATAGATATTTTAATGTGAAAACTATAACTCCTAATTTTACCCAACCATAAAAAGATTATTTACTAATATATATTCATTAGATTTTAGTTTATTCATGGTTAAGTTGACTATATTTTATAAAAGTTTATTAATATTTTAAATATTCATTAAGCTAATATAATTCAAACATAATAATATTCATTATTTTGTTATATATTTTAAGTGTTTTTGATTTGATGATCATAATCCATATCTACAACCATGAGATGATAACAATAAATTTACCCAATCGTCAAAACAAAACTTGTACTAATACATTTATAACTTTGGCCTTTGGATATATTAGTAAAACAATAAATTTATCTTCACAAATCTTTGAGACCAAATTTTACTTCAAGCAATACTTAGTTTAATATTTTCAAAGTTGTACTAATACATTTATATCTCAAAGATATTATTAAAACAACTAATTTATCTTCACGAATCTTTGAGACTAAATTTTAATGCAAACAATAATTAGTTTAAATTTTCTCAAATTCCATAATGAGCTAACCAATTTTGGTTTTATGTAATAAATGAATGTGTAATAGTAATTGCCAAATATAGCTTAAATATTTAGGTGAGAAAATTTGCGACAAATATAATAAAATGGATTGGTCCATTATATAGATTTAGATTAGATATAGATATAGATTTAATTAAACTTATAAGTTCTATATGAGCTATATAGCAGTAAACACTGTTTTTTACCTTATTATTGTTATTTTTTTTTAACATATACCTAGAGTAAATGAAGAGTTAAGACATGCAATTTGGTGTGTTTACCACATATTAGGAGTTTATATTTTTAGCATCTTTACATTATATACGTGTTTGAGTTAATTTATTGAAAGGTTTTGTAGTTTGAGAAAATTATACCAACTTTATTGTCCCAAAGTGTGAAAGTACAATATTGATGTAATTAAAAATTATTTGCTATATTTTTTTAAACTATTTATAATATACATCATTATAAATTAAAAAGGTAAAATAAAATAATACATATTGCAGTCTTTTTAATTAATTATTGGTTATAATATTCACAATTTTTAAAATTTTAGCATAACTTATTTTGGAATTTAAATATTCTAATAACGTATGAATAAGAGAATATAGATAGCAAATATTATGTGTGTATTATTTATTAATAATATTGATGAATATGTTAAATTGTCATTATTTTAATTTTAAGCAGGAACTCTAAAATGATAACTATTTTATAAGGAGATAAATATATAAAAATATGTATATTAAAATATTATGACCATAAAATAAAAAAAATATTAATATTCAAAACTATTTTTAAACTAATAAATATTCTTTCATGGTTTGACGAGGGATTTGCAATTGAAGCCAAAGCCACCGATCAAACCATCTAAATTGCCAATATAATTAAGAACTTTTCCCTTCAAAATAGTATGCTGATGTCTTTGTATTTTTACTTTTGTCCCACATCGTCTAAGAAGCTGAGGGGGAAACCAACTGACCTATAAAGTGAGCCGCTCTTGCCAAGGAAAACTCATACCTTTCTCGGCCTTTTGGCTAAGATCAAGTGTAGTATCTGTTCTTATCAGTTTAATATCTGATACGTGGGCCATCGGCCCACTCGATATTAAATTAATTTTTTCAGGGGGAAGGCCCAATGGGTAGCTTGCTACTCGGGCCTTCGAGTGTCGCCCAAGCGTTGCACTATTGCTCGGGCCTGGCGCACCCCACCAATACCAGTCGAAGTTTTCTTAAAATTGTATTTTTATAGATTTAATTTAATATTAATCTCTATGTTTTATTACGTTTCTAAGGATTCTGGCCTTCTGTGCGACTAACTGTACGACTTGAAAACCTTAGATTATTGAGAAAGATTTTGAGCACTCAGAGACCTTTCCAACAGTCTCCTCTCCAAGACGGATATCTATAAAGTGATGTAATGGACAGATATTTTCTTCAAATGGGTTTCGCCTTCGATCTTCACCATAAATAAAGAGTATACTTCCATTTAGGAGTTGGAATAAGCGTGTTCTTTAGATCCCATTGGAAAAAGTGGGGGTATACTTTGCTTTTGGAATGCTTCAGTGGAAATAAGACAAGTTTTTACTCAACCTTTTTGTATCCAAGTTGATTTATGGGATGACAAGAAAGTTCAGATTTGTTGGGGAGTTTTTGTTTACTTAAGCATAGATCCTAGACTCGGAAAAGAACAATGGAATTTATTATATTCAGAAAGAATGAAGTGGGGAAATACTTGGTTTATATGAGGCGATTGGAATGACATCCAATGTGCAACTGAAAAACAAGGAGGAATACAAAGAACTGAAACCTCTTTCGATCCCTCCAAAGAATTCATCTATAACATGAGCGTGCAAGAGATGTCTATGCAAGGACAACCCTTAACTTGGGATAACAACAGAGAATGAGAAGGTTATGTCCAAGAAAAACTTGATTTAATTATTCGCTCACTGGACTGCCTTTCTGTCTGCCCAAATGTTGTAGTCTCAAATACATTTAGAAGCTCTTTTGATCACTGTTTATTACTCCTAAACCTTTCTCCTGCGCTCTCTATGTTTAAGAAAAGATTTTGTTTTAACAGGCATTGGATTAGCAAGGAAGGTATCAGAGAAACATTGGAGAAATCTTAAAACACACCTCAGACAGGGATCCCAATGTATTGCTTCCTCTCAAAAATCAAACACACCAGGGTAGAACCCCTCAAATGGAGCAAAGGTTTTATAACAAAAAATTAAAAGAAAATTGACTCTCTGAACAGGCTGCTGGAAGCTATGAGATGGCAAGGAGGTTTAAGGGATATATACTGAAAGCTTGACTTTGGACATTATTTACACTATTTTCTATTGAATGAGAATCATTTTTTATTAAACAAGTTCTATGTTCTGTTGTTTTGCACTTAGATAATTTTATCAGTTAGTTGTGAAACAAGAATGATTGGTTCACAACCTAGATGAAAATGAACAAATCATCAGAAACCATACAGTTGACCTTGACAGATTAATTGCACTAGTACATTTATGTATTGAACAGAATTTCATAGAGGAGCATCTCGTTTTATACTAATCTTCGTAAACGAATTAGGCCTTGTTATTGCGTTCTCTTAACTCGTACAGTTGACCTTGACTGATTAGTTCTCTTAACTAGGCCTTGTTACAGCACATCCATTCTGCTGGGTCGATAGTCTTAGTGTTTTGGGTAATAGTGTTGTATGTATGATGTGCTATTAGAATATTTACGGTCACCATGTGCGTTAGTTTGATGATGTCCCCGAAGTGAGCTCATGAAGGATTATTATTGATTGAACGTACAAATCCCGTGCAATGCACAGGTAAGAGATATTCATTAATATTTATAAATTATAAATGTTCAATAATAATATTTATAAATTAAAATATAGAATCAATATGCAATACAATTTACCTATATTAATTTATTAAAAATGTTATATGAAATTTAAATTGTGCAAAATTACATAAAACATGTCTATTTAAAATTAGTAGACAATCTGGGTGCACATAACTAATAACAAATTACATTATATTCATTTTAAAATAAGTGTTATTTTAAATTTTTTATTCAGAAATTCGATTTTACTACAATGTGATTCCATAAAATAATTATTTAAATAAAATTTTATCATAGATTAAAAAATCTATACGAATAATAAGTATTCTTATAAATCTCATATTGTTTCATTAATTAAAATGAATTTAATTTTGTATAAACCATCTAAATAAAAAAATTTAATTAGTTGAGTAATTTACTGAACTATAAATAATTGGCTATTCCATTTACATCAAAGTTAGTATCGACCCGTAAGTTATGAATAGTTACTTATTTGACTTTTAAATTTGGAATCTAAAAATGGACTACACCATAAATTCCCTTATATATATATATATATATACTAGTAATCAACCCGTGCACTTGAAAAGAAAAATATGGATTAAGAAAATAATTTTCAAAATTAATTTTGATCAAGTAATTGCTATGGAAGAGCAGTTACAACCATTTTCTTTATGCTAATACACCCGGCCATTTTCATGAGTGAGTGTGACTTAAAATTTGAGTACAATTTGTAACTCCCTTGATTGGCTTATGCTCATAATTTATGGCATTCAAACAAGTTATTTTGTAACTTAAAAATGAAATTGAATGGTGAAAATTTTGGAGGGAGAATACAATTTAATGCATGAGAATAAAATTTAATGCATGATAATATAATTTAATGCCTTGTTGCTCCTCTTTATATATATATATATATAGATATAGAGGCTAATTCAAATAAAAATTAGCCCTCGTGTTAGAACCGTGAGAAGCATATTTGATGCTATTTTTTATTGTATATGATGTTATTTTTAATATTAGACGACGCTATCATTTTCACAAATGCTAATGTAAATTGTGTTGCTACTTTTAATAAAATTCATCCTGGCACCAAACACAATCAATCATAGCATTACGCATAATTAAAAAAAAAACAGTTCTCACGATAAGACTTAGTTCT